TTTGAATCGGATGCAGAGAAGCGATCTCCTGGGCTACGCAACCCTTTTGCAGGAATGAAGGCTCGGTGGAAAGTTTGGTAAACTTCGTGAGAGTGCCTTGTGAATGGCCGACATAGTAAGGTTGCGGTTGTCCAGAGACGATTAGTACTTGGCCAATCAGCGCCGTTAGATCATTGGGGTCATCTCGTCCCAACTGGAGCAAACCGAAGTAGTTCTCTGGTTATTGCTTTCGGATCGCGTACTGCGACGTTAAACAGCAGTTATTAAAACAAACAATGACAGCTATTTCTCTGTTCACTAAGTTATCGGTCAGGAGATTCAAAATGCAACATCGCGAGTGAGAGAGCTTTGCAGGTGGCATCGCTTTCCGACCATGGTGACATACCCAGCATGGTTTGATTGATTTAGCACGAAAATGCCTCTGTGACCGAATCATTCTAGTATGTGCAAGGCAATCATAATATGTTACGCTGGTGGGCGTGGCCATGCCGCCACGCCCGACGGACAAGCTGTCATGCCTGGCTGTTGGAGTTCGGGGGTGCCAGAGGAGCGGGAAACCTCGATATTGTCTTACCTCCCGCCTCGTACGATTCATATGAGTTTCGCGGCCGTCTCCCGCAACATTTAGCTAAAGAAATCACGCAGCAAGTGGGTTTCTTCCTCTTTTCGCAGTCGACCTCCTGACCCCCTGAGGCCCTTTGAATAGTAGAGTTGGAATGCTCACGTAAAGTTCCAGAATTGTTTGAAGCCTTCTCGACGACGTATATGAGACAGGAGTAACACCTTTATTACATGGATGAACTTGTGCCTTTAGGCAGTTGGGGGGGGGAGGGGGAGGCGATAGTGAGACTGGTACACACTTTCTGTTCGTGTGTGTGTTCCTCCTTCCCTGGGAGTATCATTTCATTCAAATGTTTCACCCACTTACATTTTCAAATTAGTACCAGATTTGCACAGAGGACAAAACCCTGACGTGCGTTGATTCTACTGCAAGGCATTGTATAGGCCACTTCGCACTCAATAAGTCGCTACAATTTCGAATAGGAGTAGAATGCCTCCCGCCCCCTGAAAGTATTACCAACGACAAAGAATTTATCCTCTATACTACTCTTTCGGTAGATCAGCTTTTTCTCTTCCAGATTGGGCGAAGATATTTCAGCCGAGCGAACTGATTACAGTCGCAGTTACCCTTACCAAGAACTAAGGATGGGACCTAAACTTGCAGAACCAGAAGAAAATAGGAGGTAGCTTTGGGAGCGAGGGGGGGGGGAAGAGGGGAGTGACGCGGCCTTCGGACAATGTTTACTTTGCGAGGCTAAGCACCAACTCCAGTCGTCTGCGTTCATTATGGCTCACCCGTGCGGAAGGAACGTCGTCGCATAGTCGTGCAGCTCCTCATCGTTGATTCCTACACCAGTGTCCTTTAGTTTGTTAGGTTACCAACACGATGCCAGAAAGAATCTGTTGGTTGGCCTGACGATGCGATCTTTCTGCCTTTTGCAAAGGCCGTGGATTTTGTCGATGGTATAAAAACATAAGCTCACTTATTTGACCTACTACGAACGCAATTGTTGAAGGCACGGGGCGCTATATTTTTCGGCCGAAAATGGTAGCAGGGTTGCTAAATAGTGGGAAAGGACGAAAACGCGGAACGGAACGTCAAAAATTCGGAAAAACCTTCACTTCTGCGCGACATTGGACGAGGTTACGACTGATAGAGAGCGATTTAGGACAAGTCCTCTCTTGACATCATGCCAACAAACGTCCGTCAGGCGGGTTTGCACGGTATCAAGCAGATTTTCTACCAGTTGTTGAAGCGAGGAAGGGACACATCCTAAGTTGCACGGCGAGCTTTTGCATCAATGCCATAGCATCGCTGCTGAATTTAAAGACAGCTCCCGCGATAAAAGTGTCATGGATAGTTGCTTTTCAATTATGAAACAGTAGCTGATAAGTAATTCCCCAAAGAAGAAAAAAAAGCAAGAAGGGTCCTCACTAACAAAATTGTCCCCTGACAGTCACACCGCGTTGCAGTCGCAGTGCAGAGAGAATAACACGGAAAACAACGAAAACACGGAAGAAAACTCTTGAAAAGGAAAAGAAACTTTCAAAAACTCGGCGTCCGAATTTAGGGTTACGGTAGCGTGCATCTTTTAGTGTAGTGTAGTGCGTCGAGCTTTTGCACCACGAAAATTGGGTCGCTCGTGATTTTTACGCGTTTTACCTTGCGAGATGGGTTGGAGTTGACTGTATGTGCTCCTAATGAATAAAATGTAATAAAGGAGAGCAGAATCATTCATGGGCACGAGCGCGGTCAGCAAAAAGGACATGCAATTCCGATTAATGCCCGCCGCCCCAACAAAGAACAACTGAGCGGCCCTCCGTCAGAGGGCATCTAGCAAGTGGGCGGTCCAACTGGGCGGGCGTTAGAACTAGAACTTTCAGCGGCTGTAGCTCGCTCCTCGCTCACTGTGGAGTCGCGAGAGTGGGACAGTCTCTAGCTTGGGGGCTGTACTACTTGCACAAGGAAGGACGACCATGTACTACTCGAGCGCGGGGGCTGTCTTTAAGCGAAAAAGGTGTCAGCATTTATTTGGCTGCGTGACCATATTGTAGCAGGGAGGTTGCGAAGAGCATGCCAGTCCTTGGCTAGGCGCCATGAAGACGCTTTTAGTCTGGAGAAGGCGCCACCTGTTGCCTGGCCAATAAAACAATATTATTTCAAGGTTGCTTTGTTCACCCTATCCGCCTTATTGGTATACCAGTCGGCTCGCCGGCTGACGATACCGCGCTTACTTCTGACACGACACGGCTTCGTCGCGCTTACCTTCTTCCACATGTTTGTACCAACCTAATGTCCAGGTTTTCTTTTATCTGAACAGATGACCAACGCTCCTCGACCAATAACATCCGACCTGCCATTTTCAACACTACTACTGTGCATGGAACTTGTGGTAAGGAGCGTTGATGAAGTGCAGAGATGACAGAAAAGCCGGATATCAGTTGTTCGTTTGAGCGCAATAGGGTAGGGGAGTCGAAGCGGTAATTAATGACATGGTTCTTTCCGCCAGTGAACAGATGGATGAAGGAGTGGAGATGTTTCTGGAAGCTTCGGAGGATCATGGGTGCTGACGTAGTTCGGAGCGCAGAAAAGAACGCGGTGCACCTCTCCCCTCCTCATTTTATATCCCTTTACCTGCCAAAGGTTAGTTTTAGAAGGATGCAGACAACTTTAGCCACTGCGGCCTGGTTTCGAGGAATAGAAGAAGTCGCGCTACCGCGTATATCCAACCTGTCCTCCTCCAACGAGCTACGTCGCCGCCAGGGGTGCGGAATGCCTAGTAGAGGTCCCTGAAAGCGCCTTGTCTGTGCTATGAATTCTCCATTCAGTTTATTCAGTAATGAAAAGAAGGAGCAAAGCAACATGGAGTCAAAAACAGCTGAGAAATCAGAAAGCTTTATTGTCAGGGAACTTGGAACCAACTTTCGCAAAAAAAAGATGAGAATCAGTAGAGGATATCAGTGGAAACGATAACACGCAAAATAATCATGCAAGGAAAACATACTCAGCTAACATGAAAACTAGAGACTGCCATTACTTGACCTTGTAAACTACTTGACCTGGCAAGCGGTATTCGAGTTTAGTGGGGGAGAGTGAGAAAGATGTTACAGTCCTTTTATTTTGTGAGGCTGCTGGAACAACTATGGCACCTGGACAACGCACACATCTGCTTCACTTCGTCTGAAAATAATAATAAAATAATAAAATTCGGAATAATTTTCGATAAAAATTTACAGCTTACATTTCATTCATGTTGCTGTGATGTTCCCATGTGCTCGTCTCAGAATCGAAAACTTCGACTGACGCATCACCACCTCCACCAAGAGCGTAGAACTTTCCGTTGACAACAGCTAGTCGTTGCCTACAATGGAAATCCTTGCTACATCCTAACGTTTGTATTAGGCTGGCGGATAAGTTCGCAATATTTTTATGTTCAAGTTCTTTTGAATATAACAGTAACTGGAACAATCGTAATCAACGCCATAAACTTCGAGACACTGGAAAAGTCCCCTTAGTTCTCATGAAGTGTGGAATAGATGGCTTCTAGTTTCGGAGCCATGAAGATAATGCGAGAAAGGCGTTGGATTCTTGCTCTCAATCAAGTGCTACGAATAATGGGTGTTCAGTCATGAGCCATCTGCTGACAAGTGAGCTGTCATTTGCTTGCTCTCAAAAAAGGTATCTAGGGAAAGCAGAACAACGTGTGAGCTACCAGAGAGTCGAGAAGTTTAGATTCTTTTCGACAGAAATCGTGCTAGGACGCTGCAGGAAACAGAATGCATACCCGTGTTCCACCGTGTATGCCGTTGTCTTGCAGACTGAAAAGAACAGTACCCTCCTCCAAAGGTCAACGCGTCTCCCCTTACTAGTGACGCAGGTGGTTCACTCAATGCGAGCGCAGAGTTGGATGCGGAACTCACGGAGACGATTTATATCACTTGGTCGCGGGAACTATCTTCAAGTAGAAGAGCAGCCCACCCACTTTGTCGAACGGAAGCAGGAATCGACATGATAATAACAGCACCTTCTGTGAGCTAACATATGCACAATGCCGTCATTATCGTTGATAAGCTCCGCCTGTAATGGGCGGTCATGCATGGAAAGTGAGCCGCGTAGCAGCGAAAATCCTTCACTTCATAGCAGGTCAAAGATGGGGAAAAAAGGACCAAGGCCAGCAGGTTGTTGACAGACGAAGTGGAAAACACGGACATTGTTGGCTTGGGGCGATGCTTACCACAAAATCCTATAACTCGGTCCTGAGAGATTAGAAATTGGAAAGAAGTCTTTGGGGAAGAGGAACGTTTGACGAGTGCTAAGCAGCGTGTCTGCGGTGCGTTGAGACTCGCCCAGTGTGGCTGGATGCGTGCGTTGCAGTGGGTGGGGGGAAAGGGGAATCATGGGTGTCTTTCAGGAGGAAGTCGGATAAATCCCGAAAACCATGAACGCTGAGGAGAATTCATGGCCGATGCGCTCAATAACATGGGAGGATTATAGTCCAAGTCCAGCTAAGGTATCCTCTTCATATCTATACAGGATGTCTCGAGCTTCTCCTGATATGTACGTCTCTGATCTCAGCCTTGGAACATGAAGAATAAAATTACAGTATGTCGGGAATAACAAATTTGTAAAGCAGGAAGAGATGTACCAAGCAGTCTTCTTAGTTTGCTATTCAGTGAAGGCAACCTTGTGGAAAAAAATAAAAACTACGAATCTATCGAACAGCTCCTCATCATTGAATAGTGGCGTAAAGAATGCACACACTCACAAAACCCTTGTTCATCTTCATAGTAGGCACCGAAATCCATTTATTGGCGAGAGGGCTGTACTTCTCAACTGACGTTGACCCTCCCTCTCCTCCTGCTGCGTACAAATGGCCATCGAATACTGCAGTTCCAAAATGATATCGTGGTTCTAACATTGGGCAAACGTTTTCCCATTTGCCAACTCGTGGATCTAACCTGAAACCCGAATCGCTCAATCTATCGCTTGTAAATGTTTTTCGTACATCCATAGTTACTCAGTATATCGCTTGACGAGTGTGTATCCAAAGCAGGTCACAGCACCCGCTGCGAAAAATACAGTAAAGGGGGCTCGGTTGATGACGAGAGGGAGTCGTTGGAATGACTCCGAGTTGCGAGCAAAAATTTCTCGCTTCTTGGAATTCCTCCGTTTCACACATGCCCTATATCATCCACATATCACCCTAGTCAGGTAACGGCCCAAACAGGGCACATCGTTGGTTGGGAATCCCCAACGGGGGGGGAGGGGGGTCGTTTGGCCGCCAGGAGAGGGGGTCGTAATGAGTGCGGTAGCCAGTAACGAGCAGCGCAAAGGTGTCAGTGTGCTGAGTCCTGTACAGCGAAACTTGCTTTGTAGAGAACTCGGATATGTAAAAAAATAGTACAAAACTTTCATTCATCAAACTAATCCGAAATAACTGGAAATATTAAAAGTCGACATCATCTCGTAAGTGACTAAACAGTACAACTCATACTCTGGTTCGCTGCGGATGATGGGGCGTGTCCGCGATCGCGCTTGGCGCTGAGCCAACCTGTTTTTTTCGACAAACGACAGGACTACCATATCGTTCGTATAGACGTTTTCCAGCAGTTGGTCTCCTTTATCGGAGTCAGCAATTGGCGGAGCACGAATCTGGCGCGTCGACAGGGACACGCTCCATCATACGCAAGGGAAAACACTGTAAACAAGTGCACAGGTTCGCCATGGACCTCCCTGAATCCTATAGACACATTTGCTCGCGTGGACAGACATTACGCACAAGTTGCACCATCCCATCACCTCTGCGCGGACCTCAGTGCGCGGCGCATCCAAAGTTAGCATGATTGGCGCTAAACAACCACATCCTGCTCCAACACAGGATACGTTCTACATGTATTTCAGGCTCGCTTGAAACCGTACACAGAAAACGGACTTTCGAACAGTTCGGAGTGTTCCCCAAATAACCCCAACGCAATTATCTCATGACTCCCGGGAGCTTCAAAAACGTTTAAGTAGTTTTTGGAAAGAGAAAATCTTCTAGAATTCGACACTGGTTTCAGATTCCCAAACTATTGAGGTTCAAGGGAAATATCTTGGTTCAAACCTGTAAAACTCGCGCTGCAAACTATCCAAAAAGTGCACTCCCTAAAAACTCCCCAACGCAAATTTCTCTATGAATTTGGCGACCTTTATGAACATGTCAGTATGTTTTGGAAAGCTCAAATCTTTCTCCATACGAGTGCATTCTTTAATTTTCCACAGGTTAAGGAAGTTATGGCCTTTTGAAGATACCCTACTTTTCCTGTGGGTTGTCCAGAATCCCTTCCAATCGATTCCTCGGCCGCTTTCCAGCTGATTGCGGCTATTCTTGCTCCATTTCTCATTTCATTTTGTTTTTATTTGTTTTTTTTTGTATTCTAATGAAGATATTTTTTCCCACTGGTGGCCAAGCGATTAATCCGTATCAATGTTGTGTTGTTCGCTATTTCGGCATTTCTGCATTTGTCCCAATTCCGTTACTTTTCTGAATCGATAATCTTTGATTCTTTTTTAGGAAAAAAAAGGGGGGGGGTCGTACGAGCTCGACCAAAATCCCCGACTAATGCTATGCCCTGGGCCCAAAACAATCCTTCAAGCACCTTTTCGCGTGGTAGATTGTGCCCATGCCTGCAAAAACTTCCTCTCCTCCCCCATCTCCTCCCCGATGAAAGAAATTTGAGAAATCACGTTGTTGGAGTGGGGATCGTGAGAACGTCAAAAAGGGGAAGATTGAGGAAAGGGGCCCGTATTTATTCGAAATTCTACACAATGCGTGCGTGCCTGATTCAAAGAACCTTTGGGTCTTCAAACATTCAACATTTACAAATGTATACCTTTCCACACTATACGGAAGAAACACATCAGACCCTCCGACAGCGTATAAACAGCCATCGAGTACAGATACAGAGAGATTGTATCGCTGTACTCGCATGCATCCCACATTGGTCCAGTTGTTTCGTTCAGCATCATAGCTAAAGCAGTTGATTACACAAAGAAGCAGCCTACAAGCCTTAGCGCGAAGCAAGAATGGGCGGCCATCTCATTTTTTAGTACTTCCCTGCTCATCAATCTCTCCTACTTTGCTCTGATCGTGCAGGAAAGGATCAAGAGACGAGCAAGAACCGGTCAAAGGATATAAGTTCGCTTTTGAATGGGTTAAAGATAGCTGGATTTCTCCATGAGAAAAGCTAAGGCTTACTAACCGTTCAACTGTTTGCAGTGGTGCACCGTTTGGATTAGGCTTGCCGCCCACAGCATACAAGAAGCCATCAAGCGCAGCTACTCCGTGTGCGTACCGTGTCGTGGACATCGGCGCGACACTCGACCATCGATTTCTTATAGGATCGAATCTAAAAATCTCAACACTGGTTCATTTTCTTCTGATCACGCTTTTGATAGCTATTACTCTTGTAGCAGAATTGTAGCAGAATTCAGAGTGGCCCTTTTGTACGGGGTGTGATCCGCACTACCCGCAGGTTGAGAAGTGGTAAATAACCGCTTATCACGTACACCTTCGAAGGCCAAACAGGCTCTCGTCCATACCAATCACGTCACTTTCCTTTGGGTAGCGGTAAAGTGGTAACAGGCTCGTTTGGGAGGATAACTACATTGACTTGTTCTCCGACTTGTCTCGTGGGTCCTTTTATAGGGCATGTCATCAAGCCGTTGCGATTGTGAGTGAACGTGGAAGGCGTGCTACCTTGAAAAGGATTCTACAACGGCGAAAGCTCTGTACATTCAACTCTATCAAGCAGGAAGTACTAAAAAAGTTAGCTCTTCTCTAATATTCCTTCATACCTGGACGATGTCGCGACCATGCCACTAAACGCGCACTATATCTTAGAAAACAGAGTAAATAATACAAACCTCTCAACACTGCTCAACCTGGTTCTCCCATTATGGCCACCAACAGCATAAAGCAAGTTGTCGAGCACTGCAACACCGGCTCCATATCTGTAAATGAAGCAGTTTTTGAGAGGCACGCTGTACGCTCTCCTGCAAAGATTCTGATGCTTGTCAGGGGCGAGGTGAATGGGTCCGCAGCTGTAGAAGTGTACCACACTCATCGCTCGAAAATGCGCTGAATTAAGGCTAGAGTGTTTTGGCAGCAGGGCATATCGTTGCTGAGGATTCCCCAGCAGGGAGGGGGTCGTATTTGGTCGCTGGGAGAGGAGAGGGGGGGTATTTGGGCTGGGAAAATTTCTCTTGGTAGTGGAATCCTCACATTTCAGGGAGTTGCAAAAGGGAGGGGTGTATTTAGTCGTTGGAAGAGAAGGAAAAATTTTCCTTCCGACCTTTTTGAAGAGGTTACTGACTTTTCGTGGGGCTTTTCTCTTTCATGTGTACCATATACCCCCCCAGCTCGACAGCAAAATTTTTGGTTGAAGTATAAACAAGGGAATATCCTTGGGAAGTTCCTGGAAAAGCGGTAGGAGGAAGTTAGAAGGTTGCAACGGAACTAGGGGGGAGGGTTCGTATCGAGCCAACCTCGAGGGGGAAGTCGTAAGGACTCGACAAAAATCCCCAACCAATGATGATGTACCCTGATTGACAGTCACATGTTGTTTCTAGTTCCTTCCACAGGCAAAACACGTAGTCGCAACCCACCGCAGAACCAGGTATACGTCTAATTCAGGAGAACGCACTACTTCTACACTTCTCACATGCGGTTGCCCCCTCACCCCTGCTGCGATAGGCAACTCGTTGTTCATTTAAAGGCAGCGTCCGCGATCAACCAAAGTGAAAAAACCCTCCATTGAAAACGAACGCGGAGTCCGCAACCACAGCAGAAATCCCACTCTTGCGGCTCGAAATCGATTGGTTGACGAGGGCGGAGTCAACAGAGCCGGGCTGACGCCTCCTGTCCTGTTAATCCCGCCCCGACTGGTTGACAGTTATCAATGCTTGCTGGCATTGATATACGCTGAATTTCTAGAGTTCCGAGGCGGCGACGTGTATTGGAGAACTCACCAGAAGTTTGCGAAACTCGTCCACATGCCTTAAATTTCATAGGGTCTTATTTCACGCTCTTCCACACCTTTTTCCTGCTTTTTTTGATTAGTGCTTCATTGGCCACCTGTTCTAGCAAATGTGACCCCTGAAACCTGCCGAAGTCCATCGCGGGCGCTGTCTTTTAATCGTAGCGGGAGCTCGGCATTTATCAGCATGCACATTGTGGGTCGCGTGTGGATTCATCAAGCTGCCGCCACTCTCAAGCTTCATCTTCCGCGCGCTTCAAGGTGATGATTGTAGCACATTTCTACAGCTTCGGGCTTGTCCACTTCGCAATTGGCAATGATTTTTCCGACAGGTGAGCAAACGGCGTACTTTTCTGCTAGGTTCCTCTATTAAATTGTACCTTGGCGTACTCATGGGAGCGGCATACTCCCATACAGCGTCTGCTCTTGTAAGATTGAGACGTTCCACACTGCGAAGGGTTCCATATGGCTCCACTAATCCTCCCACTGAAACATACCTGGTTAGACATGAATACCCACAGTATTCACGCAGAAACCACGGTATGTACGATCTGACCATAGTCGGAATCTTTTCTAGCATATTTCCGTTAGATAGCTGACATTCTCTCAAGACTGCCGAAGGCAGTAAGCCATATTGTCCATTCTAAGTACGTACACATTTACGTACGGTTACACAAACCTCTGGATATGTGTCCTTGCGTCCGTCGTTTGCCTGTCAAAAAAACCTTCTCCCTATGTAGAGAATCTCTCTGTGACAGACTGTGTGAAGTTAAGAATGGGTGAAATCATGAATGTATGAATAGAAGAAACCAACAAAAAAAGGTAGCCAAAATTGCCTTTGTAGTTGCTTTCTTTCGCCGATTCTTCAGGACAGCCTGTTTCAAGCGCGCAAAATTCATACGCTGCTGAAACCTATACCTTGTTTCGAAAGGAATTCATACTGCCTGTAGCATATTCCAGTCCTCACAAGGTGCCCTAGTGAGTGCTCTCATACGTTGTTGTCCCAATTCAGAAGTTTTCATGAGCTCTTGGACTGTTGAAAAGAACCCAGCATCAGAAAAACGAGCAACTCGAAGGGTACTTGGCTCGGGATCCGGCCTATCTTGCCTAAGGTGTTGGCCAAGTCACCTTGCAATTTGTCACGTTCCCATTCTAAGTATCAGGTTGTCCGGAAAGTTCTCAGCGTTTTGTGTTACTATTTTTTGTATTCATTGCTGATTAAAAACTCATTCTCCCTTGCGTCTCAGTAGTACATCCTGAAGAGAATTTTTTGCGCTATCTGATGGTATAATTGCCGTTTCACCATTGCCCCCCCCCCTTTCCCAAGACTTTTTGAAGCATGTCAAAAGAGCAACTTCGGACGATATTTTTCTTCAACTACAAATTGGGTCAATCCGCAGTCGAGACAGCTCGACAAATTAACCAGGTGTGGGGGCCCAATAGTGTTGGAGAAAGCACCGTGCGACAATGGTTCGACAAATTTCGTTCTGGAGATTTCAGCCTTGAAGATGAACCTCGTAGCGGTCGACCTAAAGCAATACCTGACGAGGATTTGAAGGCGTTTGTGGAGGCTGACCCATCCCAAACAGTTCGAGAGATTGCAGAAAAGCTAGGCGTTGGCAAATCCACTGTTGCGGATGGTCTGAAACGCATTGGGAAGGTGAAAAAACTCGACAAGTGGGTGCCCCACAATTTGAGTGACCGGCAGAAATTGGCACGTCTCGAGGTTTCTTCTTCACTGCTTTTGCGCAACAGAAACGACCCGTTTTTGAACCGAATTGTCACCTGTGATGAAAAGTGGATTATATATGACCAGTCGGCTCGCCGGCTTACGCCAGCGCGCCTCCTTCTGATACGGCCCGGCTGCGCCGGGCGGGCGCGGCTTCGCCGCGCGTACCTTCTTTCACATATTTCTAGACTCAACTGATATCAGGCTTTTGTTCTGTACTCATGGTTAAAGCTTCTCGACAAATACATCATCCCTGCTATTTTGACTATTACTGAGTATGGAGTGGTACTAAAGTGCGTATGGGCACAGGCGAGAGAATAGCTGGGGAAGGAATGTGTGGCGAAGCCGTGCCCGTCCGGCCAACTTGGGCCGTATCACAGGAGGAGGGGTGCTGGCGTCGGCCGGCGAATTGTTACCTGTGATGAGTGGATCATGTATGATAACAGGAGACGTTCCGGACAGTGGTTGGATGCCGACGAACCACCGAGGCAATTTCCAAAGCCGAATCCTCACGAAAAAAAGATTATGGTCACAGTGTGGTGGTCATCGGCTGGTGTGATCCACTATAACTTTTTGTCACCAGGCCAAACCATCACAGCAGAGTCCTACTGTGAAGAAATCGACGAAATGTACCGAAAATTGCGTCAGCTGCAGCCAGCACTTGTCAACAGAAAGGGTCCGATTCTTTTGCATGACAACGCCCGCCCACACGTTTCACAAATCACTATCCATAAATTGAACGAATTGGGGGCCTATTTCGATTAAGTCCGATAAGTATCAACAAAGTTGTGATCGTTTGAAATGAAACAATGAAAACGCTAAGAACTTTCCGGACAACGTAATAGAAGGCTGGAAACTTTGAAAGCAAGTGGCACCATAAATGAGCAAACAGTACGGAGTCGATACGCTGCCGCCCCTCACATTTACTTTCTCATGCTCAAAACACTGGATGAAGTCCATAAATTTTGTCGCATGCCAGGACGCGACAAATTTCGAATGTCTTGTCCATGATCCATCAAGGTAACACCCACCTATCCTTGAGCTCGAACGCGCCCTTAGGTCTGGTTTGGATTGCGCAACAAAATGTCATCAAATAACTGAGAGAAGATGTATGGAAGACAAAAATTTGCCGTACCAACGTATAATACTTCAAACGATTTTCGGGGTTTAGGGAGCGTTCCTTGCACTTCTGGTCGTTCGTGCGTAGATAGTCGCAGAAGTTGATAATTCTGCAAGTTAAAGTTATACGGAGCAGCTCTGTTGAAAAATGCGACCAACTTTTGCTTCGTCGAGGAGATGTCGGCATGTGGCGTCATTCATTACCAAAGGGTCCTCACTCACTGTTCCAACAAGGAATTTCGGATGACAAGAAGCAAGTCGCACATGCTCCAACAGCTGCAAAATCACTGAATGAAGTAGTCTCAGTATGGAATGGTTTCGACTTCCCATGGAACTTTGAATGGAGACCTAGGTACATCGATAGAGCCTCGAATGCTGATTACGAATGCAGATTAAAAGTGCTACGGGGACCTCCCAGACGAGATCTGGGTGGTCAAAGTTGAGTTCTGGCTCGTAAGCGCTGCTGATCGATGTTCGGCAGTGCCACCGTGGCCTAGTGGTAACGGTCTCGCTTCAAAGCCAAATGCTCGTGGGTTTGCATCCCGTTGGCGCGAAAATTTTTGCTTCGCTTCCTATAAGAGCTTTTACTCTAATTTTCAAAATTCTTCCGAATTTACGGCTCAGCAGAGCAAATAGATCAAGTAGAATTACTCGATCTAGCACGGATTTGGTCACTATCTACCCTCCGAAAATATTATTACCCATCCGACTCCAGAATTTCGACGGAAAAACTCGTTCATGGGAGATTTAAACCTCGAGTATGTCATATGCTTGATCTACTTGATCTACTTGCTCTGCTGGATCGTAAACTCGGAAGAATTTTGAAAATTAGAGTGAAATTTCATAGGAGACGAAGCAAAAATTTTCGCGCCAACGGGATGCAAACCCACGAAGCATTTGGCTTTGAAGCGAGACCGTTACCACTAGCCACGGTGGCACTGAACGATTACCGATCAACAGCGCTTACGAGCCAAAACTGAGTTTTCGCAAACTTTGACCACCCAGATCTCGTCTGCCCCCGTAGCACTTTTAATCTGCATATTCGTAATCAGCATTCGAGGCTCTATCGATGTACCTAGGTCTCCATTCAAAGTTCCTTGGGAAGAACATTCCCTTGTCAGATAATGACACGAAATTATCCCTGCCTTGGGGAGGAATTTTCGCCGATTTGCCTGGTCAAATCTGACCCATCTTGACACAGCTGCAAAAACCTGAAAGAACGACATGTGATCCACCACAGTAAGGAAGCAGTAAAGAGGAAACAAGAGTATAAGTTTAAGGAATCAGGCGGTGTATAGTTGTGCGCTCGCAAAAAGTGGGGGTTATTGATTTCCCGGGTGAGGACAGGAAGCGAGAGCAAGTAGTACTCCGCCATCCACCTCAGCCGGTTTCGGCTTGTTGGAACAGAAGAATACCGTGTGCACTCGTTGCTCCTTTTTTTGCAATTTTGCACGCACTTTGGCACTGTCTTCCTCCTAATTCCCCAAACTTTTGTCTCACGAGATTGGTATTTCGACTCTAATCTTCTTTACGGAGATCAATATACCTGTTCCTCTAATTGTACATTTAGCTCTTCATTTGAAATCAGTTCAACTAGTCGATCGAGAGAAATGTGGTTGAAATTCTCACTCTTAGCAGCTTTCTGGAAAGGTGGAGCTAAATCATCACTCAGGATAAAACAACTATCTACATCCTATTAGGTCATCCCATTCAAAAGTGCCGCTACATATAGAGGAATGGCAGAAAAGCAAAGGGGATAGAGCAGCGGGCTACTATACCATTTGGAGGCTAGTACCTTTAAGCTGTGTATCTGTGAAATTTGGCGAACCTACCCACAGAAGAAGTTCTCGAGAAATTGAAAAGAAGCCCGAGTGGTGAAAATCAGCGCCGGATTTTCAAATCAGACGTCATAAGAGGGAAGTGCGCTGCTCAAATTTGACCGGCGCCGGACCAGTAGTTGTGTGTAATGGTGTTCTCGAAATACAAGGTGGAAGGTTTGGTTCAGGAGCCCGAAGAAGGAAGAAAGGAAAAATTTGTTGTCGTGGATGGTCCCATAATGTTCATCCTGCACAAGAAAAAAGGGTGGATGAAGTCAAGCGCTGAATGTCTGATCCAGAGCCTGGACCTTTGTCGAGCTTCCCCGCGAGACTGACATCCCTGCTGCAACTGCTGCCCGTTATGTCCGATAAACTGAGGATGGTCAAGAGGGTGTGCGCATGGGTACCTAATTTTCTTGTAGAAGCACGAACGCAGTACCGATTCTATGCCTCTAGCAGTAATGTTCTCAGCATGAGATGTCACT